TAAGCATCCTTATAAGTCCGTTGAAAGGAATTCAAGTCCTTTAGACTTAATTCACATAGATATTTGCGACCTGAAGTCAACACCATCTCGCGGTGGGAAAAAGTATTTTATTACTTTTAGTGACGATAGCACGAGATACTGCTATGTTTATTTACTTAATAGTAAAGATGAGGCAATTGATGCTTTCAAGCAATACAAGAGTGAAGTTGAAACGCAACTAAACAAAAAGATCAAAATGATAAGAAGTGATAGGGGTGGCGAATATGAATCTCCTTTTGAAGAAATATGTTTGGAAAATGGCATTATTCACCAAACAACTGCCCCTTACTCTCCACAATCTAATGGAATTGCGGAGAGGAAGAATCGAACGTTGAAGGAGATGATGAATGCATTGCTAATAAGTTCTGGCTTACCACATAACTTGTGGGGGGAAGCTGTACTTACAGCTAACCGAATAATCAACCGTGTACCTCATATTAAAACACAATCCATTCCTTATGAGAAGTGGAAAGGAAGGAAGTCTAGCTTGAAATACTTCAAAGTGTGGGGGTGTTTAGCTAAGGTACAAGTTCCTAAACCTAAAAGGGTTAAGATAGGTCCAAAAACGGTAGATTGTGTGTTTATTGGATATGTAACCAATCGCAAGGCATATCGGTTTCTGGTTCATAAATCAGAAAATTCAGAGATTCACGTTAATACGATAATAGAATCAGATAATGCTGAATTCTTTGAAACTATTTATCCGTATAAAAAGGAAAGTGAAGTGACCTACCAAAAGTCAAAAGACCTCGGGAGGAAATAATAGATGGTATGCCTAATGAAGAAAATCCGAGAAGAAGTAAACGTCAAAGGACATCTACTTCATTCGGTCCAGATTTTCTGACTTTTCTGTTAGAAAATGAGCCTCGTACCTTCAAGGAAGCAATGTCTTCCTCAGAGGCACAATATTGGAAAGAAGGTGTCAATAGTGAAATAGAATCCATATTGAGCAACCATAATTGGGAATTGGTTGATCTTCCTCCAGGTAACAAAACGTTGGGTTCTAAATGGATTTTCAAGAAGAAAATGAAAGACGATGGTACTATTGACAAATACAAGGCAAGACTTGTTGTCAAAGGATTTAGACAGCGAGAAGGTCTTGACTATTTTGACACATACTCGTCGGTAACAAGAATTACATCCATTCGGATGCTAATAGCGTAGCCGCTTTGTATGATCTTCAAATCCATCAAATGGATGTAAAAACAGCCTTCTTAAATGGTGATTTAGAGGAAGAAATCTACATGGACCAACCTGAAGGGTGTGTGGTTCCGGGAAAAGAAAAGAAGGTGTCGACTTGTTAAGTCTCTTTATGGACTAAAACAAGCACCCAAGCAATGGCATGCGAAATTTGACCAAACAATGTTGTCAAATGGTTTTAAGATTAATGAATGTGATAAATGCGTTTACATTAAGAACGTTCCAAATCATATAGTCATTGTTTGCTTATATGTTGATGATATGCTAATAATGAGCAAAGACATTGCCGACATTCAAGCTACTAAGCGCATGCTTGCTAGTAAGTTTGATATGAAAGAATTAGGAGTTGCCAATGTAATTCTAGGAATTAAAATCCAGAGGACTCCTCAAGGTCTAGCTTTGTCTCAATCACATTACGTGAAAATGGTACTTGAAAAATTCAAACACTTGGAGTTTAGAAGTGCAAGAATTCCAATTGACTTAAATCATCATCTCATAAAGAATAAAGGTGAAAGTATGTCTCAATTGGAGTATGCTCGTGTGTTGGGAAGCTTAATGTACATCATGAACTGTACACGACCTGATATAGCTTTTGCGATAAGTAAACTTAGTCGACTCACAAGTAATCCCAACAAACATCACTTGGTAGCAATGAAACGAGTTCTGGGATATTTGGAATATACCCAAGACTACGCTTTGCACTACAATAAATATTCTGCGGTTATCGAAGGATATAGTGATGCTAATTGGATAACCGGCTCATCAGAAACAAAGTCCACAAGTGGATATGTTTTTACTGTTGGTGGATGAGCAGTATCTTGGAAGTCTTCCAAACAAACGTGCATTGCTCGCTCTACAATGGAATCAGAGTTTATAGCTTTGGATAAAGCCGGTGAAGAAGCTGAATGGCTTCGGAATTTTTTAGAAGACATTCCGTTCTGGCCAAAACCTTTGGCTCCTATTTGCATATATTGCGATAGTGAGGCTGCAATAGGACGGGCAGGGAGCGTCATGTATAACGGAAAGTCTCGTCATATACGACGAAGACATAACACCGTTAGACAACTACTTTCTAGTGGAATTATCACTATTGATTATGTAAGATCAAAGGATAATGTGGCGGATCCGCTTACAAAAGGCTTAACTAGAGAGGGAGTTGAGAAATCATCTAAGGGAATGGGACTATGGCCGAGGACAAGTCAACATGGCGGTAACTCTACCTAGAATTTTGGATGTTCCGAGATCTAGGTTCAAGGAGCTCAAACAAAGTTGTGATTGACCGGTTCAACATTGTCAAAGTAAAATCTTTGGTCCCTTCTCGTGATGAAGACAATGTTCAGTAACAAGGATAGAACTTTACACGCTCTTTAATGATTACCTAAGTTTGATGAGGTATTTATCAAATAGTGTCAATCTAAAGGATTACACGTTTAGGAATCACCTATGTAAGTGTGAAGTGGAAGCCGCTTCAATGAGAATTCTGTAAGGCCAATTCTCTACGCACTTATGAGACCAGGCGGTGTTCATGGCTGAAACGAACACAACAATGAGAACTAAAAGACGGTTAAGGGTTGATTGTGACATATGGTTGTCTAGGTATACACTAAAGTTCGACGGTTCAAAGATATCAAATCTACCGATTGACCGAGTATATCCGACATATGTTCACTACGGAAAGTTCAAAGGGAAACCTACTTATCCAGATGCAATTAATCATTACTTGCAAAATCACATAGCTTTCATCTATGATCTTTCTGATACAACCATTCCCATTCATGTGGGGGATTGTTGGACTTTAAGACATTGGGCTTTAAAGTAGAAGAAGTGTGAATTGAAAATGGAGGGAAATTGAAAATTTGAAGAAGTGAACTTTTGTCTTGCACTTTTTCCCTCATTGGTGAGGGACAACCACATTTGTGTGCTTATATATAGAATCACTTCTTAAAGCTCTTAAAAGGAGTTGAAGAGAATGAACCCTTGTGCCGTCGTCGTCGCTCGCTCGGCTCGGCTTCGGCTTCGGCTTCGGATTTGTCAAATGATCGATAAGATTATTTTTGGACAAAATTTATTCAATTATTTAATAATTAATTAAATGCCAAATCACTGCTGAAAATACGCCAGAACCCTGCTGAAGGTTCAGAGGACCTCCCTGGCCGCGGTTCTGCCGCGACAGGCTGATTCAGAGAGCCTGGCAGCGTATTCTTTTGAAAAGGCACCTTTTCCAGACACCTCTTCTGATAATTGCCTATAAATTCTGAGGCAAGGCTCCATTTTCTACACACGAAAAACACTCCAAAACTTCTTTCTTTCTGAATATACTGCATTCTAATTCGCAGTCTCTCTCTCTCAAATTCGTAAGTGTGATTGTGCTCCGTTCTTTAAGTTCGTTGGTATCCTGCAATTTGTATTGCCACTGTTGCAGGAAGGTTTATTCCGTTTTATCCTGGGAGGATTTACTCCATTACCTTGGCAACGTGTGAGGGAGTTAAAATTCCTTAAGGACACACAAGCAAATTGTGGACTCGGAATATTTCTTAAACTCTTCTGTTTTCCAGTTTCTTTTATTTTTCTAACAGTTTTTCTGATTTTGTGTTTTAACACAGTAACGCTCACAGTTAATATGTGTAATGACAGTATGTGTAGTCTTGGTATTGATTGAATGATTGTTCAAAAAAAATTTATTTGGTTTAGCCGATAAGCTGCCCGATAACCGCTCGATAATTATTAATCCGATACCAATCTACTCGTTGTCTTATTGGATAGCTAGCGGATTAATACATGTTTAATCTGATAACCGCTAAACCGAACCGTTAAGTGTAAATCCGCCCGATTCGCCCGATAAGCACCCCTATACTTTATTTAAATCTAATTGGTTGGACTCGGATCTAAATTGTGGATCAAACACAAGAGACAAAAATGAAAGAGACGAAATTCAGGTTAAAAAACAACTTATCTTATTGTCCAGAGACTAATGTAATTTTCTTATCTCGTACACAGTTCATTGATATCATTTTTAAATATGTTTGAGACACCTTTAATACTTGAAAACTATATGTAAACTTGAACATTTATATTTTACTCTTATATAATATTTACCTGTCGAAACTTCATTTAGTATAGAAGCTTCTATTTTAATTAGGAAATAAATAAAAAACGAAAGTACATAGCTACTAACATATTGATAGTATAAGCAGTTTTAGTACTTTATATATGTCTAATTTCTATAAACAAAAGCCTTTTCTTAAGTTTTTGCTCTAAAAATCGAATTTATATTCCAACTAATTTAGGAAAAGAATATCTATTGAAAGAGAGATTGATTTTAATTAAATATCTCACATAAACTGAGTTATAGCCCTGTTTTGCCAAGCTTCTCCTCGCAAAAAGTAATTTTTTAAAATTAAAGTGTTTGATCAAGTTTTTAGAAGAAAAAATAGTATTTTTGAGTAAAACAAGAAAAACTTTTTTAAAAGCACTTTTGAAAAAAATACACTTAGAAATACTTTTTCAAAACTTGGTCAAACACTAATTGTTGCTTAGAAGTACTTTTTAAATTAATTAATTAAATATAAATTATTTTTCACCAAAAATAATTTTGAAATAAGCTGATTTTGCCAAACAGGCTATTAGAAGAGGATTAGTTTGCTCACCTACTCCCTTCACCAACCCCCTAGGCTGGGCCCACAAACTCAATTTTCTGTTGAAACTAACCGAAAAGAAAAGAAAAATAGAAGGTTGGTGAAACGGCTTCCTATATAATTGAGACACCAACTTCATGTAAAATTATTTAAAATATCATTTTAGTTGAAAAATGAATTTATATATGAATACCATTATATAAAATCCCCCAATCACTACATAAATTTCACCAAATCCGATTACCCGCCCAACAACTCCACGTCCGCCGTTCAAAGCCACCGGAAAATGACGTCCGACGTACCCGCAACCACAGCTAACTTCTGGGGCGACATGCCGGAGGAAGAATACTACGCCTCCCAAGGCGTACGCAACTCAAAATCTTACTTCGAAACACCCAACGGCAAGCTCTTCACTCAATCATTTCTCCCGCTTGACCCAAATATATCTCCTAAGGGCACTGTTTACATGACCCATGGCTATGGTTCCGATACTGGTTGGCTTTTTCAGAAAATATGTATTAATTACGCTACTTGGGGTTATGCTGTTTTTGCTGCTGATCTGCTTGGCCATGGCCGGTCCGATGGGATCCGATGTTACATGGGAGATTTGGAGAAGACTGCTGCTGCTTCCTTGTACTTTTTCAAGAGCGTGAGGAATAGCGATGAGTATAAACATTTGCCGGCGTTTTTGTTCGGAGAATCTATGGGTGGGTTAGCTACTTTGCTTATGTACTTTCAATCGGAGCCGGATACTTGGACCGGGTTGATCTTCTCCGCCCCGCTTTTTGTCATTCCTGAGCCTATGAAGCCTTCTAAGGTGCGTTTTGATTACTCTTTTTGTTTAATTGTTTGTCAGTAGTTTTGGGTTGATTTGCTTAGAAGGATGTGTATTTTGCCGTGTTGCAGCATATTTTTATTGCTATATGATCAGTACGAGTAAATAAAGTAATTTTTGTCTGCTCATACTTTGATGATTTATTCTACATAGTAATCCAGAAAATTTTCGATTCCTTGTTAGATTTTAATGAGCTTTGCGCCTGGACCCAAAATTGTTACTCCCTTAGGGTCAACTAGTTCAATAAAATAAAGGCAAAATACCTTACCGCCCCTTAAATTTGACACGAATTATTAGTTACAGCCTTAAACTATTCGTGATCTTAATTACCCCTTCAACTTGGCCTTTTGAGAGCTAGTACCCCGTGGACGCTGATGTGGAAGTGTGGCTGCACTTACCTGCCACGTGGATTTTTCTGCATATATGGCATTTATTTTAAATTGTTCATTCTTTTTTATTTCTTCTTTTGATGTAATTACTATTTATTTCAACTGTGTATTTTTACCTTTTCTAGGTAAAATCTGTAAAAAGTATATTTTTAGAGCATCATAATTTAGAGCTTTCATAAAAAATTATAGCCAAAATAAATAATTTCGAACTATGTATTTTTATAACTTTTTAGATGCCTTGACTATTTATTTCAATTGTATAAATCTTTATTATCAGGTCAAAATTCAAAAAATATTTACTAAAACTTTATTATTTTTAGCCAAATAAAAAAATTTAGCCTAAATAATGTAGTTCTATCCAAGTTTTATTATAAATTGTATTCGAAAATATTTATTTAAAAAAGTAACATACTTAAAAAGGTAATAAATATATTTTATTTTTAAAAAAAATGCCACATATATAGAAAAATCCACGTGGCAGGCGAGTGCACCCACACTCCACATCATCGTCCAGGGGAGTACTGGCTCTCAAAAGACCAAGTTGAGGAGGGTAATTATGACCGCAAATAGTTTAAGGCTGTAACTAATAATGCGTATCAAGTTAGGAGGGGGGGGGGGGGGTAGGGTTAAGGTATTTATATGTATCTCATCCTTAGTTTTTGGACATGATTTAGCTAAAGTTTGAATAAAAAAGTATTTGAATTTAAAGAATACTTGATAAGTAATAATCTAGTTCAATCCAAAAAGAAAAAACAAATGTATTAGGCGCTTAACCTATAATTACTACTTTCAAATAAATCTTTGTAATCTAGTTAGTTAGCTCCGTGAACTTTTACTTTTTTGGCTAAGTTTGATTACCCACTTTGTATTACCCTTCCCATCCCCAATTGTATAATAAAAAAAAAAAGGGAAACTTACACAAATATCCCAAATAAATCTCAACTTACCAACCTCTAGCCATTAGTCATAGACTTACCAAAACTAGCCAACAAAA